CAGGAGGTCTCAGGAGGCATCAGGAAGCTCCAGGAGGCTTCAGGACGTCCCCGGAGGCCGTGGGAATCCTAAGGAGGCTCCAGGACGCCCCAGGAGGTCCCAGGATGCCCCGCGAGGTCCCACAAGGCCCCAGGAGGTCCCATCACGCTCCGGGCGTATCCTGAACGACCCAAAAGTTCCAGAACGCTGCGGACGCCCCTGGAGGGCTGAGGATACCCTAGGAGAACCCAGGAGGTTTCAAGAGGCCGCAGGATATTCCCAGAGGTTGCTATCCCAGGAGGCCCCCGGGATTACCAGGAGGCTCCATGAGGTCCCATGGTCCATCACGCCCGAGGTAGGGAGGGGGAGGCGGAGGAGGAGGAGGGCGTTGAGGAGGAGGGAGGAGGAGGAGGAGGAGGAGGACAAGGAAAAGAAGGAGAAGGAGGACGAGGAGAAGGATGAGGAGGAGGACGAGCATGATGAGGAAAGGATGAGCAAGGTGACAGCGTGACGCCCCAGCAAATACATTTGGTCCAATTGGTTTCTACCCCCGTGAGGGGCGTTACATGGTAGTAGTAGTAGTAGTAGTAGTAGTAGTAGTAGTAGTAGTAGTAGTAGTAGTAGTAGTAGTAGTAGTAGTAGTAGTAGTAGTAGTAGTCGTAGTAGTAGTGAGTAGTAGTAGTAGTGGTAGTACTAGTAGTAGTAGCAGCAGTAGTAGTATAAGTTGTAGTAGTAGTAGTAGTAGTAGTAGTAGTAGTAGTCGTAGTAGTATATGTTTTAGTCGGAAGTAGCAGTAGTACCATAGTTAAAGTAGTAGTAGTAGTAGTAGTAGTAGTCGTAATAGTAGTAGTATTAGTAGTATTAGTATTCGTAGTAGTAGTAGTAGTAGTAGTAGTAGTAGTAGTAGTAGTAGTAGTACTAGTACTACTACTACTACTACTACTACCAGTACTACTCTACTACTACTACTACTACTACTACTATTGTAGTAGTAGTAGTAGTAGTAGGAGGAGGAGTAGGAGTAGTAGTAATAGGAGTAGGAGTAGGAGTAGTAGTAGTAGGACTAGTATACGGGATAGTAGACGTAGTGGTATATTATGTGTAGTTGTATTGGTGGTAGTAGTGGTACTATTCGTAGTAGTCGTAGCTGCTGTGGTAGTAGTAGTAGTAGTAGTAGTAGTAGTAGTAGTAGTAGTAGCAGTATGCCTAGTAGTAGTAGCAGTAGTAGTAGTAGTAGTAGTAGAAGTAGAAGTAGTAGCAGTAGTACTTTTAGTATCCGTAGTACTAGTACTAGTAGTATCCGTAGTACGATCCGTAGTAGTAGTAGTAGTAGTAGTAGTAGTAGTAGTAGTAGTAGTAGTAGTAGTAGTAATCGTAGTCGTAGTAGTAGTAGTAATAGTAGTGGTAGTAGTAGTAATAGTAGTAGTAGTAGTAGTAGTAGTAGTAGTGGTGGTGGAAATCGTATTAGTAATAGTAGGCACCGTCGTCGTAGTAGTAGTACTAGTAGTAGCAGTAGTAGTAAACGTAGTACTAGTCGTAGCCGTTTGTGTCGTAGTAGTGGTAGTGGTATCAGTCGTAGTAGTAGTCGCCGTAGTAGTAGCAGTAGTAGCAGTAGTAGTAGCAGTAGTAGTATTAGTAATAGTAGTGGTGGTAGTAGCCGTGCGAGTTATAGTGGTAGTTTTTGTCGCCGTAGTAGTAGTATTATTACTACTACTACTACAAGTGGTAGTGTCAGTAGTCGTAAAAGTAACAGAAGTAGTAGCAGTAGTCGTAGTAGTAGCAGAGGTCGTAGCAGTAGCAGTAGTAGCCCTAGAAGTAGTATTGGTAGTAGTAGTCGTAGTAGTAGTAGTAGTAGTCGTAGTAGTAGTAGTAGTAGTCGTGGTAGTAGTAGGAGTAGTAGTCGTAGTAGTAGAGCAGTAATGATCGAAATCGTCGTAGTCGTAGTAGCCGTATCAGTAGTAGCAGTCGTAGTCGCAGTATGGGCGGTAGCCGTAGATGAGGTCGTAGCAGTGGTCGTGGTACTAGTCGTAGCCGTCGTAGTACTAGTACTACTAGTAGTGGTAGCTGTAAACTAGTAGTAGTCTTGGTAGTAGCAGTAGTAGTAGTAGTAGTTGTCGTAGTAGTCGCAGTAGTAGTAGTCGTAGTAGTAGTAGTAGTAGTAGTAGTAGTAGTAGTAGTAGTAGTAGTAGTAGTAGTATTAGTAGTAGTAGTAGTAGTAGTAGTAGTAGTAGTAGTAGTAGTAGTAGTTGCACTAGTAGTAGCAGTAGTAGTAGTAGTAGTAGTAGTAGTAGTAGTAGCACTAGTAGTAGTAGTGGTAGTAGTAGTAGTAGTAGTAGTAGTAGTCGTAGTAGTAGAAGTAGAAGTAGAAGAAGTAGTACAAGTAGTAGTGGTCGTAGTAGTAGTACTAGTAGCAGTGGAACAGGTAGTCTTAGTAGTAGTCGTAGTAGTATTAGTAGTAGTAGTAGTAGTAGTATACGTGGTCGCAGACGTAGTAGTTGTGGTAGTCTTACCCGTAGTGGTA